TATTTTTTTTAGAAATAAAAGTTCACATTCTAAATCTTACATTTCTGCTCATTTTCTTGATTTTCCAAAGTTTGAGTTTTAATTGGCTTATGAATGCATGATTTTTTACTACCTGAGATTCCACTTATGTTTTTAATTTGTTTTCTTAATATTACTTCTGATTTTGATACTTTCCTTGTCTTTAGCTATTCTGGCTCTGCCTTCACCCGCTCTAACATGCGCTCACATCCCTCACATCACCTGCTTACTTAGCCAAGCCTTTGCTTCAAACATTTACTCTCTCCAGTCTTCCTCACCTTTCCTTGATGCTTCTTCACTTCTTCTAGTCCCTTAGTAACAACTATGAAAAAACTCTTCAATTACATTCTATTCCTTACTTTTTCTACTCCGTAAGTAATATTTTTAGTATTCTCAGAAGACTTCCTTTATTTCCCTATGTGGGAACTTGTTTTTCTGATTTATCATGATTTTTCTGATTTGTCAAATAACATTAAAATATTCAGTTAATTTAAGTATTGCTGTGATAATGAAGACCTATTGGATTTAAACCAGTGGCATGTACAGGGCAATTAGAACACAGTTTTAAGCCCACAAAAGTGATTTCTATGTTAATGAGAATTTCAGGAATTATAATAAGGGCGTGCTGACACATGCCAAAGTCAGTGACATGCAGAGCATGGACATGAAATGCTGTACTGAATGCCGTTCTACTGTTCTGATTTAAGTCACAAAACTTTCCTCTCTATCTAAGTTTATTTTCCATAAGTTGCAACTTGGAAATTGGAACACTTCCCCCACCCTCCCACCCCCCACCAACACACAAAAAAAGTTTGTATTTGCTGGTTTAGGCCAATACCAATTCCATAAAACACTTATTTAACTCTATGAGTTAAATACTTACTGAGCAGTTGTGTTGTCAAAAAACTGACAGCCAAATCATGCTCAAGTTTAGGTTATCACAAAATCGAAGTAAGTTTCACGTGAACGTATGAGAACTTTGTTTCTTCATAAAGAAAAGATGATCAGCAAACTATATTAAGGATTTTGAGATCTGCACATTTACCTTTGCATTTCAATAATAAAAATTTAAAAAAAAACCAACAATATTGGAATACAATAAGGTTCAGGAAAAATAATTATTCTGGCAATGATTCATATGCATTTTGAAGAGGTGCATATTTTTATACATGCAAATTTATCAACATATTTTTAGTCACTTTTATATATATGTCCAAATATGCATGTATAATCTTGTAAATAGTATAAGTAATGAGATTGTAATGACTGAATAGGAATTTTATTTTCATATCATTTCCACTGGGATGTCAAATGTAGTTATTCAGGAATTCACTGTTTGAAAAGTTGCAATATCTTAATAAAAGGCCTTCAGATTTTATTTGTCACCATGATGATAAATGTCCCTGGCTGTTCCTTATGTTGCAGCCTGACTTCCAGGAAATGGACTTAGTATAAACCCTAATTTTACCTAGCAACATCAGTGTTCAGTGGACACCTTTAAGGACCCTTAGTCTCACTGGAAGACTCTTGAAATCAGTTTCTTTGAGCACAGGGAAATCTTCTATTTCCTTCTATTTTAAAAAATACTTTCTGCTATTTAACAGAGCAAAATTAACATAGATAAATTTTATCGCATGTGAGTAGGAGGGATATTTAAGAGGTAAACATAAAATATTGCTTGAAATCCAGAATGAAACGTTTGGGTTAATTTTTTTTAATTATTTTCCTCTAATTCAATCTAGGTCAGCTTGTAAATGGAAAATACCAAATGAAGAAAAAATGTTTTTGCATTTCTGATGAGAAATATTTTAATACCTTCAAAGGAACATATTCATGATATTTTAAAAGTTTCCTTTTTTAGAAATAATTCTTTAATTATTTCAATTCAAATTCATATTGCTTTGATCTTATGAAATTTGTCTTTTTTTTCACAAATTAACCAGTGATGATTAAAAAGCAAAAGCCCTTCTCTGCTGTGGATAAGATCATCTGTCTTTATCTCATATATCAAATTGAAAGATTATATTATTTAAAAACCTCTTTTAAAAAGCCTCTTTGTCTTTCCGACTGTTTTGTAATTTCTGTCTAATAATAGCAATAGTTACCTTCTCCATCAGAGCATTTTGCTGTTTGGGCAAGAAAAATTAATTATATGAATAGGATTCACTCATAGATGTAAATGCCACTGTGACAGGCCATCAGTAAATCTCACAGAAAAACAAATTCTTCATATGCTATTGTAATAATGCACTTTTCCTTGGAGGAATGAGTATTACAATGTGAAGTGTTACAGTAAGTTTATAGTAGAGATTAAAGCTTTCAGAAATGTGGCAAAGAAAAATATTATAAAGAAGTTGCACATCAAACCTAATTTATCTCAAAACATTGAGGAAATAATCTATGTATATAGACTTTTGTATTTCCAGTAGCATGCTGCAGATTGTAGCTAAGTCGCTTTTCAGGTGCAGATCAACCAGAGAATAATAATAAGAAAAGTAAATTAGAACTGCAAAACAGATTTAGGCATTAATTTTTACTAATTGATGGGTGGTGTTTTAAAATCTACCCTGATGATCGTCAGTCCTTCCTTGACATTTTGACCACATTATTCAAATTCAGGAGACTAAAAAAATCTGTTTTTTGAAAAATAAATTTCTTCCCCCTGGTATGTATCAGGCTGATATTACCAGCTTCTCAAGTTAAGGAATTAATTGCCCAAATATCTTAATTTTAGACCAACTGGAAGTTATTTATGTTAATATAGTTCATGGAAAACTGATGAAACCAGAACAAATAACTCTGATCTATGCACTCTCTTAGGTTTTAGAAAAAAAAAAAAAAAAGAAAAGAAAAGTTTATTTTTCAAAGAAAACAGTAGTTTCTTGATGGATATTCCTAAATATATTTTTACTATCCACCTGCTGAAAATTTTTGGTCAGGTCTGAGAGTGGTTTTGATGTTATGAATCCAGAAATATTTGTGACCTTGTTAAGACCCATCAATTCAATGTAGCTAAGAGCACTTTTGTCTTTATGATTACTAAATGGCAGCAGAAGCCACTGAGAAATGTTAATATTCCTAGGAAAATAGGTTATAAATTGCAAAAATATGCTGTTAAAAAAGATGGAATGGAAGAATCCAATCATTTAACATTTATACCATTCAGTTTCCTTTTAAGTTCAAGGTAAAACCTCTTTAAGGCAATGGAGTACTTTCAAAAACCTAATTGCTAAACTTTATAATTTATATGCTTTATAAAATGTTTTGGAAGTTCTTTTTCTGCTGTTCTGTAGTGATCTGTTCTGACATTCACAAACCACGTGAAGAACACTTGATTATATTTAGGTTCTTCTCTGGTACAAAGAACTGCAGAACCTTCTAATAACTCCTCCCTACAAAGTGTCAGGGAAAAAAAAAAAAAAAAGAAAGAAAATAGTCTAGCATAAACAGAAATACATATCCTTCTACTGCTCATACTGCTCATATCTATGTGTATCCTATGTATGTATGTATAGGTTTTTGTATAGGTATCTACAAATAGAGTTTTTCTCTATCTAGACACCTGCCTTTAATAGTTTCATTTTACCTCACTGAATAAATACTTTCCTTTTTATTTATTTCTTTCCTTCCTTTCCCTATTGAGTGTTAGTGACATGTAACAAACAGAAATGTCGGTGACTTGCAAATGTGTAATTTTAAAATGATAATCTAGCACTATTCCATGTACTATAAAAATGCAGTAGTTGAAATACATTGAAATTCTCTTGTTCCATTGCTTGACGGATCTTTCATTAAGCTTTTCTGCACCAAGTTATTGGTCACACTACTCTCTCCTTTATACATATAGTACCTCATTATATTTTTGGATGGATATGACTTAACACTCATAATTTGGTGAAGAGGGAAATACAGTGTTTTCTTCAAGCTACACAGTCTAGACATTTTTATCATTAGCATATTTCATCTTAAAAAAAGCCTTTGTTCAAGTAAAGTGGAACTGTGTCCAAACATTGTATAAGTGAGATATAAATAGACTAAAACATTTTGTCTCCCTTCCTTGCAATGCTATGCAATAAGTCTACAACAACACAAGAGAATCTGAAATGTTGTTTCCTAGTTCAATACAGTTGTCGTCCTATCATCTTTCGTATTCAGCATGTGAGTATGACTTCTACAAAATCTTTGCATCAGTACTTCCCTTTTAAGAGAAACCTCTGCAATATGATGAGGTAGCTCAGCTAAAAATGTATCAAAGTTCTGCATCAAGTTGATGGAGGATCTTGAGTGTAGGGTAGAGAGAAGTGAAAAGAACAAGAGTAGCTTTGAGTAAAGACATGAAAACCCAGTGATATGTGTCTTAACCCTATTAAAACAGGGTTATATGAGGATAATATTTTGCAGAACAGAAAAAGCATGTGAAACCTCGCAATAATAGTGACATAACAGATTTTCCTTTCCTGTCTTCTTCATCTATGGTGCTGCTAAACATACCAAAAATATGAATAAGCCTGCGAAGGAAAGTCATTCTAACCAGTTTTACATCATTATTTAAAACTTTTAAAGTGTTTCGTTTTCTCTTTATTTAGTTGAACATTTATAATCAGTCACTTAGCAGACTTTTCTGTCATTACGGAAACATTCACAGAGACATGGGGATTCTTAAGTACCTATATTTTGGTATTAGTATGAGTAGTACTGTGAGTAAATTAGGTGCTAATGCCAGAAAACATCACTAGGCAGATAAGTTTATATCAGTATATTCTTAAATGCTGCTTTAAATAGGAATAGATTTAAATACATGCCTAAGCTTTTTCGCTCTCTGTGTCATGAAAGGTAGTTAAACAATCACACTTATAATCTGGTTTTACTTCTTTGCCTTTGAAAGTATATAATATCTATATGTATGATGGGTTTTGAGCCTGAGAGGTTTTTGGTGGTTTGATTCAGTGCATTTTTTCTCAGTGATTCTCTTTGTCTTTCAGACTTGAATCTCCTACTAGATCTTTGGTAATGGAAGCACCCAGGGGAGTGCAAGTCAGTGCAGCTGCAGGAGACTTAAAGGCTACCTGTAGGAAAGAACTGCATTTACAGTCCACAGAAGGGGAGGTAAGTTCAGCCAACAGAAAATGTTGTACAGTTCTGCCCAGTGAAACACAAACAATGTGAGGAATGTTTACTGATTAACAAGGTAAACATCACAAGAAATGTACTGCATTTGCCTTCATTAAAGTAATTTTGGTTTAGCTTGCTTAATTATTAGTACTTACTTCCTTTCTGCAAATATTTGAATCACTAAGTTTCATTCACACTGACAAAAGGTTATTTAAATTAATATAGATTAGAATTATTTTTAATCTAAGATTCAAGGAAAAAGCTACCCAGGTCCTCCGTGGAAAAGAGCCAGCTAAGTGAGAGTGGTAAAAAATTAATTTGGATGAATCTGACAAAATAAAAGAGAGAATGTGGATTAATTTGGATTAATGTGTCATTAAACCACGAATAAGAGGTTTAACAAATTTGCTCTACCCAAGGTATATCTCCTTAAACTCTTACTATCTCTGTAAGAAAGACAGAGTACTTTAATGGTATGCTCACTGTCCTGTTTCATTACTGTCTTGTTTCAGTGGTCAGTGATCAATGATCAATATAAAAAGATTTTGGTATAAATTCTTCACATATAAACCTAAGTGAACTCATGAAAATTATTTAAAATTGGATCACTTGTTTTCATGGTAATCCAGGTATTGCAGAAATACATGAAACCTTTTTTTATCTTCAGACCCTAAAATGATACAATATTTAAAAAACAAAACAACTTGTGGAAGGCTATCAAAGGATCTCAGATTTCTATTAGGCAATTTGGAGAAATGACTAGATTTTCAAATTGTTCTAAAAGGGACTTGACAGGTTACAGCATTTTTGGAAAACCAGTTGTTTAATGTAAATGTCTAATTGGGAATGGAGCTCTTTAGAAATTTTTTTCCTTTTAAGTTTGCTTTTTGTATTTTCTAGCAAATGTTTCCGGATACTTTACAAACTATCCAAATAAGCAAAATCAAACAAAACCAGCATTCACATCTGTGACTGTTCCCACCAATGCACACTCTGGACTATAACACAGACAGGAACATTTTGGCCAATATACTGAGTCAAAGGTCTGCTTTGATAACATATTTCTCTTGATGCAAGTATCTGTCCTGTGTAATTAAAACACTATCTTTGTCTAATTTAGAGTCTCAAATATTCATATACCACAGGCTGCATCTTATTTCTGAGTTTCTCCTAAAGGTAGCTCAACAGCTCTTTCCCCTTCTCTCATCTTTACTTACCACCTCTGTTACTATTTCTGAACATTGCTGAGATAGAAATAAGTCAATGTAATCCTCTTTTACTAGTAACTATTATCCTCCCTCACCCTTGTCCTTTCTATGGGTATTTTTATTGCAGGGTCTACTGCTTTCTGTCTTGTTCCCCTTCATAAATTCCTATCTGGCCAAATCTAGTATGTTCCACACATTTATTAACATAAATTTTAAAACTAGAATGTATTTCTCTGTCCTCCGTCTTATTGCTGGAGGGAAAAGTAATACTTGAATGGAAATTATAATTAAACTCCACTTTATTGGAAAGGCAGTTTTGAAAATAATGTCACATGACCTCATCTGGACTTTGAGAATGGGAACCTAAGAAAAGGTATAATGACTATATTATGTGTTATTCAGAACCGGAATTCAATTCTGTGTTAAATATTTTGCAGGGAAAAAAATGGCAATGTAAAGCAGTTAGCTGAATTTCATATTAAAAATCATTATTTTCTCTATGTGCTAAGACTTTGCACATCTGTGATTTTCCACATAGATGAAAGATTGATAATTATCAGAAAACAAACTACCAACCTTTCCCCACTTTTTTCCCATAGAGCTATTCTGTAAACATACTTCTGACAAAGTTCGAAGTCTTGAATACTTCCAATTTCGGTAAGATCTGAAATTAAATGTAGACTAAATCCACAGAGAAATTCTATCATGAGGTCTGACCAATGCCTTTATAATCCACTGTTTTATCTCTTACACTGGAGAGGGTTAGAGGAAAATGCAGAAACACTTTGGAAGGCATATGATAGGTTCCACAGCATCAGCTGTTGTGCAGAGTTACCATGGACACATTAGGGAATTGCTGGACTAATTACAGCCTGGTGTGAGGAACCAGGGTAAATATGTGATGGATTAAATGTCTACACAACAAAATATTGATTGTTTTCCTTGTTTATAGCCCGACAGATAAACCACAGATTAGCAGACCGTATGAAAAAAAAAATCTATAAAGGGTTTATCATCGCTCATTTTTAAGGAAACCCACTGTAAAACAACACAATACCTATGTTAAGAATAATCCTCATTTTAGCCTAAAAAAGGTATGCGCTGTCAGTCATGTTTCTTCCACAAATAAAATAATGTTTTCTTTCTGAATTGGATCTGTGAATTGTTTTTGTGATGACATCTTTGTACTTGAAAAAATGCAAGTTTTTCTGTATTATTCTCATACTGGTAAATTTAAATTTATGTTTTTTAATCTTTGTAAGCTTTTTCAAAAATTCACTAAAGATATGTGAATTAATATTTTCTTTCTATAACAAAGTTCTTGCCCTATTATGCCAGAAAATAGCTATGTGGCATCTGGAATCAACCAGTTATAGCCTGTGACAGTACATTATGAATTTTTTATCCATGAAACATAGATTTTCCTGTTATTTAGGAATATCTTCAGAATATTTTTAATAGCATAAATGTGTTTATGAAATACTTTTTCCTCTAACTTTATTACTCATGCAATATATTCTCTAGCCTCCCACATCACAAACTGAATGCCTCTGCAAGCATTCTGAAATCTGCTGTTTGATACATTTTATTTACTGAAGTATTATAATAATCCTTTTATCCCTATTATGCATTATAATGCGTGATCCCAGACTGAATACTAGAGGCTGTAATTTAGGTTCAGATTCTGACACCCTTTATAAAGCTCTTGAGCTGCCCCCTTGTAAGTCAAGGCATCAGCAGAATCCTTTGATTCAATTATAGCTTGTCATTTAATTGTGAACTATGTATTATTCTATAAATAAACTATAACTAATGGTTTAAAGCAGCAATCAGTTACAAGGAATGTGAAATGTGAAGCTCCAGGCTTTAGCTGGTTCTACGAGTTCACATAAGAGAAAAAGAGCACTTCTCGTCTGAAAGTTCAGCACAATGTCTGCTAGTTGACTACTGCTTCTCTCACATAAAATCATAATGCAAAAGTACAGAGCGATTATGAATTCTGTAGATACTAGATTTTACTAGACATAAAAAATATTGGAATTGAACCTGGAACATGGTATTTTATAAAGATAACAAGATGAAAGGATTATTTGATGTTGTCCACTCATTGGCCTAATAATTAATTGTAATTGTGTCGACCATACAGAATCACAGAATTGGTCAGGTTGGAAGGGACTGCAGTGGTCATCTGGTCCAACCTCCTTGCATGTGCAGACTCATCCTAGGGCACATTGCACATCCATTGCACAGAATTGTGTCCAGACGGTTCTTGAATATCTCCAGTGAAGGATACTCCACAATCCCTCTGGTCAATCTGTTCCAGTGCTCAGTCACCTGCACAGTAAAGTTCTTCTTCATGTTGATGTCTTAGAGTTCGATTTTTTTTTTTAATTTTGTAGATTTTAGAAGTAGTTATATAGTGAGTGTAGATTTTAAAGTAGCAGCACATTATCCCTTACCCTTTAACACAGCAATTACACATGGCAAACCTGTTACCCATTCCCGTATCAATTCCCCTAAATTCCATTAGCCTGTTTAGTCTCATTTTCAAGGTAGAATTGTACAGAACACCCAAAAATCTGCGTAAGAAGATATAGCCATAGACACAATGACCATAAGGCCCAGAGCTCTGGAAGGCCTCCAAGAACAGCACATGCTCCGAGGAAGATGAAGATGAGGAAGAGGGGAATCCCAAAACTCCCCCAGACTCAATTCCTAAAAGACGTGTCGGGGAGGCAGAACCAGGGTGGTGGTCAAACTGTGATTGGGTGGAAATAATTCTAAAAATTGTAAACACCTGTGTTCGGGAGTACGGTGGGGGTATTCCTGGAAGCCTGAGGGCTCATTAAAGCCTTTTGTATCCCTATCTTACCTCCTACATAATTTGGCCTGGAGTCTTTTTTCCTCCACAGCATTTTAGGCAACAGTGTTCAGGTGAAACTTCTTTGCATCGGTTTCTGCCCTTTGCCTCTTGTCCTATTGCTTGGTATCACCAAGAAAAACCTGAATCCATCTTCTTAGCACTCTCCCTTCAGATACATATAGACATTGATGGTGTCCCCTCTCAGTCGTCTCTTCTCAAGGCTGAACAGGCCCTGCTCCCTCAGCCTTTCCTCATAAGAGATGCTCCGATCCCTTAATCATCTTTGTTGCCCTCCTCTGGACCTGCTCCAGGAGCTCCATGTCTCTCTTGCCCTGAGGAGCCCAGAACTGGACACAGCACTCTGGACATAGCCTCACCAGGGCTAAGTAGAGGGGCAGGATCATCTCCCTCAGCTTACTGGCAATGCCCTTCCTAATGCACCCCAGGATACCCTTGGCCTTCTTGGCTACAGGGGCATACTGATGGCTTATGAACAGCTTGTTGTCCAACAGGACCCCAGGTCCTTCTCTTCAGAGCTGCTTTCCAGCAGTTCAACCCCCAGCCTGTACTGGTGCCTGGGGTTATCCTTTACCAGGTGCAGGACCTTGAATTTGCCTGAGTTGAATTTCAGAGGGTTCTTTTCTGCCCATCTCTCCAACCTGCTGAGGTCCTTCTGAAGGGCTGCACAACACTCTGGGGTATTGGCTGCATCACACTCTGAAGCAGAAAGCTGCTAACTGTCCTCAGCTCTTAGGAATCTTGAGCAGCTGCTATGTGTCTTTGCAAGGAGCTTCTATATAAGCTAGGCTCTGCACTTTCATTGCATCCCATTGACTAACAAAGTAATTAAAAAGAGAAAGATGTACAGAGGCTTCTCATTTTTACAAATGTATTCATATTAATCGCCCTATCTATGACCTTTC